CACATATATTTAACCCTGCTGTCTGCTGTACTTAAAGTGCCCTCAGCTGTAGTGAAGCCTCCCTGGGCCCCGGGGGCTGTGCGTCCCTCCGTGTTTACTCAGCTGTGGGTGACGAGACGGCGGCGCACAGTTTCCTGGGCAGCCACTGAGGCTGCCGGTGTGATTCCCGGGTTCTGCATACGACTGCCACTGGCAGGCAGGCAGGGGCGATGTGTGGGAGACGGGGAGGAGGGGGGAGGATGCCAAAAAGAATGCCACATGTCACCGTTTTCAAGCAGTTGCAAGTACTTTCAAGCTGCCATAGAGCTGTGAACCAGTTACAATCTCACTCTACTCTGATTTCTGGTCAGTTGGGAGAGAATAAGAGGGGCGGCTAACTGCTATAGCCTCTATAGGAAATTGCACCGCTCTGAATAAGGCATTTATGCCTCGCGTCCGAGTGCACAAGACCGTTTCATTATTCACCGTACTTATTTAAAGTTGCTTTTTTTATCCCTCCCTCTGTTTTCGGTGCAGGGAGGAAGGTGGGAGTAAAAGGGTGGAGGAAGGTGGGAGAACCGTCCCTCAGGCCGTTATTTCCTCTCAGCGGGGTACTAATGCGCGTCCATCCGCCACAGAGACGGAGGGTTTTATTAAAGCAACAATTAGTTGTCCTCAGAGACAGATATACGTCCCGCAGGCTCCGCCGCCTCCATCGTCTGCTGTGTTGTTTTGTTGTGAATTTTCCCCGTTTTTTCCCCGCGAGAGGTTTCACTTTAATTCTCTGCTGATTCGGATCCCAGCGTCCCTCATCCATCAACAGGATTTGAAGCGTTGGTGCTATTTTCCTTGCTAATTAATCATTTTCTGGATTTGTTTGGTTATTTATTTATTGGGCTTTTAAATGCTAAAACAAGCAAAGAATCCTCATCATCCTCAAAGTTTTCCAGAGCCAATGGTGACATGTTCAGACTGTATAAAGCCCACATCTGTTGATTTTATGGTGATTAACTAACTGATTCATTGTTTTGAGCTCCAAATGCTTTTATTAGTTGTGTCTTATGGTCTTATAAGAAACATGGAAATGAACTCACTCTATTTACTGAAGCACTGTACCATTTTTGTGGGGATTATTTACAAATAAGCTGTTTATAATAATTGAATCAGTAGACCAGCTGTTATGATATCTCAGTTGCGGCCTTTTGCAGAATGAATACCTTTTGTTGTCAATAATTCTGCACTTGAATGCAGGACATTTACTCTAATGAGATATTTTTAAATGGTTGAATGTCACTTCTGCTCAGGTAAAGGATGTGGAGACAGTGTCCCACTTAAAACAAGCTCCTCTCTCCCCTGCTGGATGCTGAGATCTCATGTTTTTAACACCTGCGTGTGACAGGTCAGCACGCTCGTGCTTTGTAGATGACGGCAGTTCTCTGATGCCCCCGCCGACCTCAGGTGACCTCTACGCGCCGGCATATCGTCTCTGAAGGTGGGAGCCCGGCCGGGGTCTGAGAATAGTACAGGCGAGGAGGAGGAGGGCGGGGGGGGTGTCGTCTCTGCCGGCCTGTGAAATATTCATCAAGTGCAGGACAAGCGGGTGGGGGAGTGTGTGGGGGAGTGTGTGGGGGAGGGTCCACAGGGGAAGGAACGTTGTAGGAGGGAAAAGTGATGCCGGCCCGGGAGGGACGAGGTGTAGGTGTGTTAGCTGGAGATACAATAAGCAGAGGAGGAGGTTCTTTATGTTTCATCTACCAAGCGGCAGGTGAAGCGAGAGCGCCGCTGATGATGCTTTTTTCTTTGAACTATTGGATTCGGATTCTTAAATGGATTTCTGAATAGTTTAGTCAGAAATCCATTTAGCTAACAGCTAATTTCCGCTTTTTTCTCCTCCGCTGTCAATAACCTCAGGAGGACTGGCCCTCTGAACCGATGAGGTGATCATTACAGGCCCCCCCCCCCCCCCCCCCCAGGTGTCATCCACCAGTCAATGCTTTGGACATGATGGCCTTAATTTGCATAATCAATGCTCTTTCTTTATTCTGACTTTGACCCCCACACAGATACTGTATGTTTGTTTCTTCCTCTTCTTGTTTCGGGTGAAGTATTCAAAGGATAGCGGATGACTCATGGGTGATCCTTTGTCATTTACAATGGCCCCACCGTGAGGTTGACGTTGGTAATATAGCGTTAAATATCTCAAGAATCACCAAGAGTATCACAAGTCATCCCGAGGGAAAGGTTGTTGTCTGTAGCAAAACTGCAAGGCAATCAATCCAATAGTCGTTGAGACGTTTAAATATAACAACTAAATGGTATCAAGGGCCTTTGGGCCTTTGGTCCTCTCTGTCATATTAAGAGAAGGGGTTTCTGAAGGAAGCCTTTCCGTTTCAGAGCGCTCTACGTATTCTATTCTGCCTCTATTTTGACCTTCAGCGACTTAGAGCATCGTCATTACACACACACACGCACACACACACGCACACACACACATGTAAGAAGCTTAGTGCAGAGTGAGTATAAATATATAATTGTTATCAATCAAGAGAAAAGATCTGAGAAATGTTTGTGAGCTGCCCGAGTCCAATTTGAGTCATCAACAATATTTAAATTTTTACAGAGCGAGAGACGGGATTTATCCAAACTTTGCATGCTAATTTGTTAAGCTCAGATGTGTACTTATCATCAAATCACCATATCAGCATTTTGACTTTGAGCATTTCTGCATTCCAATGTTTATCTTCTCTGAGCCTCACGGGGCTGCTGGCATGGCCGCGCAATGTTAGACTTATTCATATTAATCCCTTAATTTATTTCCATGAAGTTTATTCATGAGTGAAGGCTCCCAGTTTTTCCAGGTCAACGGAAATCGTCGTCCAATCATGAGTCGGGAATCACACAAACAGCAGAATAAGAAGCAGAAACATGTGAACGTGTCTTAGTGCCGGTCACCGCCTGCTGCTCATTGTTGCATTTAAATGACATTTTACCAGAGATCGCTGTTTAAGCGTACGGCATAATAACAGTGAAAGTGTTGGCACTTAACGGAGAAAATCTTTTTTTTTTTTAAAACAACAACGGAGCACTAATGGATTAAATTTACCCAACTGAAACCTCTTACTCACAGATTGTAAGACTTTGCTAAATGGACGAGAAAGCGGCTGCGTTTGTTGTTGATTTATTCTCTCAAAAGCTGATGTGGCTCTAAAAACAGATGTGAAATAATTATGTGCATACTGATTAATCACAGCGGAGCTCTGATGAGTGCTTTTCAATACACGGGGAATTGTGTCTGAGTGGCAGCTTTATTGATCGCAGAGCTTCGGAAGATTATATCCTGTTTAAACTGCAGCCAGCAGGTGAAGAAGAAAAAGATTGATTTTCTGAAGCAGCTTCACAGTAAAAGCGCGATAAAAGCAAACAGAGGTCGCAATTAACAAGTAAACGCAACCTTCAGAAAAAGACATTTCTATTACTCGCGTATCTTCCCTTTGTGTTTCATACAATTTTGAAACCTTTTTCCTCATTTATTCAACACTGATAAAAAGCGGAACAAGGCGTGTGCATTGTGGGCCTTCTTTGTGCCTCATACATGTTTGATGTTTTCAGTATTACCACATCTGTCACATCAGCTACTCGACGAGAGGCAGCTTGCAACTGCCAGTCGACACCCCCTCACTTCAGTGTGTCGATAAAGATGCCGCGGAACATCACGCCTCCGTCATACACGTCGGTTCTTACATTTATGGAATTATTTATTTATGAAGTACAGCGAGTGCCGCCGCTGTGGGATCGGACACGTTCGCGCTTTCATTTGCCCGAGAAAGGGAAGCTTCCTCTGACAGCTGTGTCAGTTATTACAGATGTGTCAGCGGGAGTCACAGATGTGCAGTGAAGGCCACCGACAGCCTGTTGGTGAAAGAAGATAAGAAGCGATAGTTTGAGTCAGGCCACGTTTGCCAGATGATTGTTGGCCGTGCTGGCTGCTTATAGCTGGCTGACAATGTCTGTCCGGATAGAAATATCTCATAAAATACATCCCAGAGGACGTTTCACACATAAATCATGGTCCACAGAGGATGAATCCTAACGACTTTGATGATCCTGATATCTTTTCTCGCTGCAGCAGGTCAACGTTTGCATTCCTCTAGAATCTTCGCCGTACTTGCGTTTAATATTACAAATTCAGAAACATTTTCTCCCCTGGAGGGAATTAGTGGAGCTGCAAATGATTGGTCAGATGAAAGAAACATGTGTGTGTGTGTATGTGCACACACGCTTTTTCCCTCAGGTTTGACGTCTGGCTTCTACAGCGAGCCGCCTCTTAACTGACTACATGATAGATGGGTGGAAACGTTGAAATGGCCGATGGCCGGACCTAAATCCTCTCTCGACAATTACTTGGTTGCTTTGTTGCTCTAATCTTAGATCTGTCATTCTGGGCCATAACGCTGAACAACAGCCCGCTGCCAGCGTCAGCAGACGAACCCCCCCCCCCTCCCCCCCGTCTCCCTCCCCTCTCTTTCTGTCCCTTTAGCTTTACGTCCCTGCTCTCTCCCTTATTCTCCCCCCGTGGATTATGTGACTCATACTGCACTAAACGCTCCAGTGCGAGATGAACTCTTCATTTATCTGCCCATTTAGTCCCGTGGCTGTTTCAAAGGGCCCTGTGGATTTCTGCTGGTCCCTCACACAGCATTTACACCCAACAGCTTGGTTTTCCTAAAGAAAAATGAAGGCTGCGTTCTCACTGGCTGGGATGCTCGGTCTCCATGGTAACATTTGGTACATTATAAAGCGAAGCGTGCTGGTCTCCCTCACCTCACTGGTTGGAACCTCTCAGGAGTTCTTCTTTTGATCACTTCCCTCTAATCGCTCTCCTTTACTCCCCCGCTCCTCTTACCTTTCTTTTCCTCATGTCCTCTCAGCCCATGTCTGTGGAATACACACAAGTAGGGTCAAACACCGCCCCTCAGTGGAAACGCTTTGGTAAGCAACCTTCTCCCTGACGTGTGTCTCAGGTCTTCACTCGCTACGGGAAGTGTTACACCTTTAACGCCGGCGGCGATGGACGTCCTCCTCTCTTTACCACCAAGGGCGGGATGGGGAACGGGCTGGAGCTCATGCTGGACATTCAGCAGGATGAATACCTGCCCATCTGGGGAGAAACAGGTGAGGGTTTTTTAGAACCTCGGAAAGGGAGACTCTGCAGGGGTAGAAGACGCATTCAGATCTTTAACTTAAACCACACAAACACTCGACAAGTAAAAGCGCTGCGTTTAAAAGCTTACTTAAGTTCACGTTTGTGCGTATGCAGTTCAAAAGTAAGTAAAAGTACTCATTGTGCAGTGTAATCTTCCAGCCAAGTGTTTTATTATCATACATGATGTTCTGGGATTAATATTAATGATGCATTAATGCTTATTTTGCATTTTTCTGCATTAGATTTTAACGGTTGTGCTGATTCAAAATCCTTAATATGCTGTAGTTTAAACTACAGCAAAGATCATATTCCACAACAAGTACTTTGAGAACCACATTTCTAAAAAGTCAGAAAGATTTCTATTCTAAATAAACATATTTGTGGTTTAGACTGGATAGGAACGGTTGGAAAAATAACAATCTGAACCGAAACTGAAGCTGTAGAAAGTCCCATATTTGCTTCTGAGATGTACTTTAAAGTATAATATTGCATTAAAGTAAAACATTTAGGTAAAGTACTAGTGTTATTATCATACACTCCACCACTGCCACTCATTGGCAAAATGTCATTTTTGTGGAGCGTTACTCTGATTCAACATTCTTTGGATTTCTGCAGATGAGACTTCATTTGAAGCCGGGGTGAAAGTTCAGATCCACAGTCAGGACGAGCCGTCCTTCATTGACCAGCTCGGGTTCGGCGTGGCGCCCGGCTTCCAGACGTTTGTTTCCTGTCAGGAGCAGAGGGTACAATGTTTAATCTTTAATCACGCAGCGTTTATGTAAAACCTGCACGATCATCTGATGGCTGGTGTTTCTTTACCTGTTGCTCTTCTTTTTAGCAACATTGCTGTTTCATACAATTGTAGTATTACTGTGAGGAATAAAATGCAAAAACTATTTATCACCAGAATATCCTTTAAAGCTATTTTAATGCATTTTCACACAGATATATAGACATATTTTGTTGCATGTAGCTGTTTTATACCTGTATATGCTTTCTTTTATAATGAAACGCATCCTTTTTTTGATTCACGGATGGACTTTTAAACACCTACATTTTTATTTCCAAACAACAGCACACACTGTATTTGATTTCCTACAGTAAATACCACCTAATGCTTTAAAAGCGTGAAAACTGCCTCTGTATGAGAAGTAATGTGTCCTTGTTGCAGCTGATATACCTCCCTCCTCCCTGGGGAGACTGCAAGGTGACGGCGATGGATTCAGACTTCTTTGACAGTTACAGCATCACAGCCTGTCGCATCGACTGTGAAACGCGCTACCTGGTGGACAACTGCAACTGTCGCATGGTGCACATGCCCGGTAGGGGGTCTCTTGCCTACTGTGTGTTGCGTAGAGTTACAGTTACAATGACGTAAGAGAGTAAATGTTATGCTGCGAATGTGTGTCGCTGTGACTGCAGGCGACGCTCCCTACTGCACGCCGGAGCTGTACAAAGAATGTGCCGACCCGGCTCTCGGTAAGAAAAAAGCTTCGTCCACGTCGGGTGCGAATCATTACGCAACAGATGCAAAACACACACACACACACACATCTCTATATCTCAAAGTCCCAGCAGAAGTGATCTCAAGGTCATACTGAGCTCTGGGTTTGTTCTGTGCAGACTTCCTGGTGGAGAGAGACAACGATTTCTGTGTGTGCGAGACGCCGTGCAACATGACCAGATACAGCAAAGAGCTGAGCTTCGTCAAGATCCCCAGCAAGGCCTCCGCTAAATACCTGGCAAAGAAATACAACAAGTCTGAGCAGTATATTAAGTACGTCGATCTGCATTTTTATACTGCGGTACAACTACAGCATAGTGTGTTATGAACAATAGCGTAACTTAAATAAAGTGTTGACTTGCTTTCTTGTCTCCACAGAGAGAACATTCTGGTTTTAGACATCTTTTTTGAGGCTCTGAACTACGAAACTATTGAACAGAAGAAAGCGTATGAAGTGGCCGGACTTTTAGGTACATTTCGATTTATTATTATTCTCTGTCTGTATGGTCGATTACGTTTTTATCAGCTTGAATCGTATTATTGCAGGTGACATCGGTGGCCAGATGGGACTTTTTATCGGAGCGAGCATACTCACCATTCTGGAGCTCTTTGACTACCTTTATGAGGTGAGACGTCCTCGGCAAAGTGATTAGATAGAAGAATAAAGCTGCTCCTTGTAAATAATTACCTGATATAAAGTTACCGGACCATTGAGGACACTGAACTCATGTAGTTTGTAGTTTTGGTTCTGGGCATGTGGGTGTTTTAGCAACCTTAGGAGAACCAAAATGTACCCAATTATATTTTACGAGTAGATTCCCATACTTATAATACATAATACAAACAAACGTTTTAGTCTTTCATATTGGCAAATACAGCTTACAGAACATATAATTAAACGTATGATTGGATAAAATATGAAATTGCACGGTGGATACTTTACCATGCATGCTGAATCTCTCACATACAATCCTCGTTGAGCCAGAAACCGCGGGTTGTCATGGTAACCCGCTCCGTTCCCGCCCCTCCCAGGTGATAAAGTACAAGTTGTGTCGCTGCTCCGACAAGAAGCACAAACACAAGAACAACAACAACAACAACGACCAGGGGACGGTCTTGAGCCTGGACGACGTCAAGTGTCACGTCAGTAACTTCCATTAAGGCCGCTCTGCAGCCTGCAGGAGCAACCGGATGAAAGCCTCTTTACTGCGGCTGCTGAGGCTCGTGAGCGGACGGACAGCAGGACAGCGGAGATCCAACTTGTTGTGATGAATTAAAGAAAAGCGGGACTAACTGCAAGGTCGTCTGTGAACAGCTTCCCGAGCCGATGGGAGCGTGAACTGAGCTGAGGGGCGCGTGTGTGCTGTTTGTCATCTGTCAACCTGGACGAGCTCTTTGTAAAATAATTAATGTGAAAGATTCTTCTTTTTACTTTTTTTTTCAGTATTTGCATGTGCGTGCATTTTCTTCTTCTTCTTTTGCTTTCATCACTCTTGTTCCAGACTCGTTCCTCTTTCTTTCCACCAACTTTTCATTGTTATATTCATGTTACCCATCCTCATTTCATGACCGACGTCTTTCCTTGTTAAAACCGGAGGATTTTGCCAAGGAACTGTACTACCTCATCTTGCAGGGCGACAGCGCCCTTAAGAATTTACAAGCCAAGCAAACTAATAACAAAAAGGTGATTTCTATGTAAAGAAATAAGCAGAAGAAAGTCTGTCATTTAGGGAACAGTGTAACATTGTCTTTTTAACAGAAGACATTTTGACGTGACGCAGTAGGAAAATCACAGTTGTACATACAAGTTCTCAGCTAATGCTCATATCACACAAAGTAATCCCAGAAAACACATCAATCCTTCACTACAAAACAGTGTGGAAAGTGGTTAAGCGTTTGTAAAATAAGCTTTTTTGCAGAGCGTTAGATGGGGAGAGTGAAACCATTCACTTCCTGTAAAAATATAAAACGACAGCTAGAAGCCGGTTAGCTTAGCTTAGCACAGCGAGTGGAACCAGGTGGAGAGAAATCAGCCAGTTAGCAACAAATTCCAACAAAATCCACCCCTAATCAGTACACCAAAGGTGTAGTTTTTGCCGTTTATAGAATTGTATTACTTTTATACAGAACCAGGCGAGCTTTTCCTCTTTGTTTCCAGTCACTATGCTAAGCTAAGCTATCTGACGGCTGGCTGTAAACATTCTCCACTAGAATGAATCTTACTTTTCCCACGACACAGAAATTCGAAATTCATGACCTGAAACAAGTATTTTAACATGAAAAAGAAATGGCTGGATACACAGCAACAAAAGGTAAACACACAGGTTTACAACCAAGTGCTAAATAATGAAGGATTTTCCTTCAAATTCCCTCTCAACGACAATCACTGTTGGGAAATTCAAAATGTGTATTTCCTGACATTAATCTGAGGCAGTGTCTTACATTCTTACATGTAGAGACTGTTCATTACCTTTGAGGGAAGATCCCTTCGGTGTTTGTTATCATGGCAAGAAATAACTCATGTGTATAAATATGTTGAATGTGTTTTGCCTTCATCTTCTGGGGCTCTGAGTTGCATGTTGCTGTGCAGTGGTGGTCTTAAACGTGGTCCATCGATGAACAAGTTCATCCGCAGTTTACGTCTTCGTCCATCGCCGTGTTTGGTTGGATGTGAATCTGTTTTTATTTATTAATTTGCGCGCGTGTTTTTGACCACGCTGCCAGCCGCCTGCCGGGGATTCAGCAGGACGAAAAGGGAAACATTTGAACGCTGAGTCGGAAAACACGTCGGCTCCGGCGGTACTTGTTCGGTACCGTGTCTATTCTAAATATGTTTACAAAAATCTAACAGTATTCCTCTGGCGTTGATCCACTTGCTCTCATTCCCATTGAGCTCAGTGTTTTCTCAAAGGGAAATGTAGCCGTGTGGTGTTATTATCAAGCACAATCATGCCATCAGCTGCAGTGTCATGGAAATATCAATCTCATTGTAATTGCGATAATCTGATCTGTGTAATGTTGTACTTGTGGTATTTATTTAATTCAGACTGTTCCTGTATATATGAATGTAGGTTTGTTTATTTGAGTTTATGTATCAAATATTAAAGTAGGAGGCTATTTCTATTCCTTCTAAGTTTGTATTGCTACGTTCACAGCTGCTTCAAATGTATCGTCAGTAAATAAAAATGAACAGCTGGATTGTTGCATCCACTGCATGAGGTCATGTATCTCAATAAAACTCCTCGTTAGACAAACTAAAGGATGATTATTTTAGTCTGGTGGTGTATGAAATACAGTAGCCATTGTTATATTGTTAAAGCAATTGTTATATTAAAGATGAAATGTTAAATTGATGTTTTGGTTCAGTGGATGGAATTTTCTGTACAGATTTTCTGACCATTTCTATTCATTTTCATGAGATTTCTTTACTTTTTATTAATCATTAGATAAATTTGGGCAATATAAATGACTAAATCTATTGACACTCCCATCGTCCTCAGTTGTACTTTGTGTTGAGTAGCAGTAGTAAACATAGTAAATGTTATCATGTTAACACACCAACTACTAAATGTGAAACCTGGTAAATTATTATACCTGCCGAACGTAAACAACTTGGTTAGCATGTTGGCTTTACAATACTGCAGCCAGATACAGTACAGTGTGGTACAGTGACTGAGGCCTTTTTTGAGCATTATTAATGGATAACATCTTTAATAAGGAAAGTGGAAGTGGGTACGGTCAGTACGTTTTCGACTCTAGATATTCCAATGTAAACATATGAGGAAACAGAATTGCAACATTTAACTTCATGATATTAATATTATTGTGGTGGAGAAAATATAATCGTGAAATCTGAATAAAGCAAGTTGAATATTGTTCGTAACTTGTTGAAACCAGACTAATGAGTCAGGAGTTTGTAGCTTCCTGTTCTGCATTTACTTCCAACTCTATACAACAAATTCCCCTTTTGTGTGAGTCCTGCAGACCAAAAAGTAACCCACAGTGATCCTTCTTTTCTCCTTAATGTGCCAGCTGTATCCAGCTGTATCCGGCGCAGTGACAACTTCATTCCTGTGAGTGTTGGGAAAGTCAGTGAGAAGACATGGAGTAGAACGGTCTATTACACAAATCCACAGGGCTTTACTTAAAGTAGCATTACCAATAAAACCTCTCAATTACATGCAGCAGTCCTGCAGAGTGATGCTAAACTCAACGGAGGAAAGGGGGACTGGGTGTGGGAGAGTTGGAGACCTCAACAACTTTACGTGACACGAGGCACTTTCATGTAACCATATGTGCCATAGTTCATGCACTCAGTCGCCAGTGTGCACAGGGGGACTTTAGTCCGCATTACTTTAAGCCTACTGACCTCTAATCAGCTGGATGAATGAGTGACCAGACTTCTAAAAGGCGGGCTATTGTCCCCCCCTCCTCCTCCTCCTCCTCGTATTGGCCAATGAAACGGGCGCCTTGCAGCTCGTGCGTTGCGTAACTCCACTGCGGGTTCAGTCAGCGAGGCTCATTCCGTGTCGCCGTTAGACCCGGTTCAAGGCACCTCTGCGCGATGGCGCCGCTGAACAAAGTCTGCATCATTGGCTCCGGAAACTGGCAAGTTGTTCACGCGTCCGGGTGTCGAACTGTCACCTCGGACCGATGAGCGCGGCGGGCGCGCGGGGGGAGCCCGTTGCCCGGCGAACCGTCGCTAGCCAATTTAGCATCCCATGGCAAGCAGGCGGCGGGCTAACGTTAACTAACTAGCGATTACCGTTGGCCCGATAGCGCGAGCGTATCGTTAACTGTCGTGTGACATCTCGTCTACGTTAGCCGGAACGCGAGCCGGTTCGGTCGTTGTTGGGAATCCGGCTGACTACACGTAAAACCGGCCACATGTCACGACCGAACACGTCATGTTACCGGGGGGGCTGTCACCGGTCTGCGGTGGACGTGGGTTCGCGTCCCGCCCGGCAGGAGCTGCGCATCGGTTGTTTTCCCCTTTGAACGCCAGGCCTCGTGACGCAGGGTCCTAATTATACGTTCACAGCTCGTTAACTTCAAAATACAACCGGATTAAAACGCAGTGAAAAGCAACGAATGAATACTTTAGTCATCTGGCGCATTCGGCGTGTGCGTTTTGTTTATCAACCGAGCACATTTATTGTATGTATGATTTTATGATTAAAATGATTGTATCAAAACTCACTGATGTTTTTATATATTGTTTTAATGCCGAATAATGAGTTGACCCCCAAATGATTAAAATAACGCCTCAAACTCTCGTTAAACACCACAGTACCGTAACCGTACTTTGTACTTCTGTGTAAACCTAAAACATCAGCAGACCTCTGAATGGAGTTTACACAGCGTCAGCAGCAGAAATACAGCAGGTCAGCTTTTTGTCCCTAGAAGCTCTACAGTATAAATAAGAAATAACTTTATTGTTGGCTCGGCCTAATCTCTTTTAGTTTCTAATGAATTATTAGTGTGAAACATAAAATCAAGCAATAAAATGATCAAGGTTAAATTTGGCATATCGCTTTAGTGTTCAGGATCATTGAAAAAAAGAAAATACACTGAAGTTTAATAAGCTTATGTGTATGTGTTGGCCCGAATTATTAGACGAACTCCCCAAAACTATGAGTAAGAAACAACACATGAATAGTTCTCGCGGCGGGGGGCACCAGAACCGCGCGCAGACGGACCCATGTTCATCTCCACTGCTGCCTGCAAAGTCGACCTCTGGTGGTCAAAGAGCAGTGATCTCAAACGGAACGAGTAGAAACAACAAGAGGGGCCACGATCAACTGAGATACCGTTATCTCTGAGAAAGGTTTACCATCCAGACCTAAAAAGGGCTTTCTGGACCCCCCCCGCTGTTTGTTTTTATCATTTGTTATTGTAAATGAATTACTAAACTGTAACTGTTAACAATACAGGGGTTCTGCCATTGCCAAGATCGTGGGAGCCAACGCCGCCTGCAATGCCAATTTTGACACCACCGTGAAAATGTGGGTGTTTGAGGAGATGGTGAACGGGCGCAAACTCACGGAAATAATCAACAAGGACCACGAGAATGTGAAGTACCTTCCTGGGCACAGGCTGCCAGAAAACGTGGTAAGAAAATGTTGGTCTGTACCCATAAAATAACATGTTTATTATTTAGGGCTGTTCTGTTCTGCCCAGATTTTAATGTTGGTTGTTTTGTGTCCGACCTCTTCTCTAATCAGCCCCTCTCCCGATGTTTCCTCAGCTGGCCGTCCCAGACCTGGTGGAGGCGTCCAGGGATGCAGACATTCTGGTATTTGTGATCCCCCATCAGTTTGTTGGGAAGGTGTGTGACACCATAAAAGGCAAGATAAAGGCCGACGCACTGGGGATATCACTCATCAAGGTTGGATGTCACCTTTTTTTTGTCCCCAAATAGTGGTCCAACGCTACTCCACGTTGTGTGCGTGATGTGTTTTCAGGTCAAAGCAGCTGTAAGCCAGTTGTGCAGCCTCTCCAAACGGCTTCATGCATAAACAGTGCTCGGGTGTGTTTTTGTGCCTCCAGGGCGTAGATGAGGGGCCCGATGGACTGAAACTCATCTCCGATGTGATCCAGGAGAAGCTCGGGATCACCATGAGTGTGCTAATGGGGGCCAACATTGCCAATGAAGTTGCCGATGAGAAGTTCTGTGAGACCACCATAGGTGTGTGTGATGTACCATTTGTAATATTGTGTTGCATTGTGATGTTTTAAGAGGCTGATGTATTACGACAAATGTGTGCTTTTTTGATCGGGATGTGGAGGTTTTAGTCGTGACGGTGCGTTTATTGGTCTTCGATGTCTTCTCTGCACATCCGGCTGTCAGTTTATTCTCCTTGTGTCAAGGCAGAGAGTGGATTATTCCGTTTGACATTTGCTTTGTACACGTCTTTGTGGGCACCACAACCGCAGGCTGTGAGATCTACTATTAGTGTGTGAAAGGATTAATATTTGTTTGATCACTGCTGTGAAATGTAACTTTTTCGAGGCTTCAGAGCATCACAGCTGCACTCTAAAAGATGCAAACGTTCCCTTAAAAGGAGCTCTAATCAACCAAGGACAAAGTGAATGCTTATTTGCAGAAAATACTTTTTGAATGAAGTAGAAATTGATTAACTGGATCAAAAGCTCTGCCAGTCCTCACTGGACAATTTATAAGAATACGCATTAACCCACTGATCCAATCCTGCAAACCCCAAACTCTCTGAGGTCTGAGAGACAAGCACAGACTCCCCTTGGAGCTCCTCCTTCAGGGAGCAGCTAGACTTTCTCCGCTGCCACATCTAGGCTAAGTAATTACATCTTTCCTCCTCGTTAAATACAGTAGGAGCCACTTGTGATGACGTCGGTTAATGTAATCAAACACTTAAAGGGATCAAGAAGCTTATGACCGAATCCTACCAATGCAGAGGCTGCATGTTTAAGTCACTTGTAGAATAAAGTTGGCCGCTTATTCTCTTCATTGCAGGTCTTTCCGTACTTGATCCATCGAGTTGATGTTAATTCAATTTTATTTGACTTTTTTCCCCGCCTCGATTTGCTTCACAGTAACCCGTCTGCTTCCAGCTGCGCCCACTGAAGCTTCTAGTTGATGGCGCTCTGTAGGAGTGGATTGATAGTCTCTGGTTACGTAAAGCACCAGAAATGAAACCTCTGCCACGGCAGCGTGGGCCGCACTCACTGACAGGATTCACGTCATAGACTCACTGAAAGATCATCGGGTTCTTTATTCTGCTTGCAGGCTGTAAGAATAAAAACCACGGGGCCCTCCTGAAGGAACTCATGCAGACCACTAACTTCCGAGTCACAGTGGTGGAGGAGTCTGATGTGGTGGAAATCTGCGGGGCCCTGAAGGTGAGCTTTGTGTTTAACTGTATATGTTTTAATAGAAGGGATCTTCCCGTCGGACATGTAATTGGATTGATGGACGGTGTTCGAACGCTGTTACATGTCCCTCCTCCTCCCCTCTTCAGAACATCGTCGCGGTCGGAGCGGGTTTCTGCGACGGTCTGGGCTTCGGGGACAACACCAAGGCCGCGGTCATCCGGTTAGGCCTCATGGAGATGATCGCGTTCGCCCGCATCTTCTGCACCGCCGGCCCAGTGTCCTCCGCGACCTTCCTGGAGAGCTGCGGCGTGGCCGACCTCATCACCACCTGCTACGGCGGCCGCAACCGCAGAGTAGCGGAAGCTTTTGTGAAGACGGGGAAGGTGAGAGCTCAGATGAAATACATCTGCCTCCTCGTGCAACATGAAATGTCTTTGTCTTTGTCGAGACAATATTAAAATAAAAATCAGACTACAAAAACAAAAGGATTCAAAAATACTTATTACCAAACATTAAAGCTGAAGAATCAGGACATTTTCTAAATATTAATACGGCTTGTAGTAAAAGAGCACAGAAAGAACTTCTGAGGGTGCACGACTGTGGCGGAGATGAGCTAAGAAAGAAAAAAAATGTCAACGCTGCGGCCTTTAAAGGTCCTTAATAAGATGTTTGATATACAAGAACTGCTTGAATGTAAAAACAAAGGAAATTATTTAATCCAGTTCATTAAGGATTCAGGATTATATCAGTTATCTGTATATTATCAATAATGTGGTATTAATAGCTTAATACTGATAAAAACAAGAATAATGGCACAAGTGTTGTGTTTTGTAGAAACACTTTTACTGTGACGATGCTTTTTTTCCCCACTTCCTGTCAACGTAAAACTCTGTTTGTCGTCAGTCCATCGAGGAGCTGGAGAAGGAGATGCTGAACGGGCAGAAGCTGCAGGGACCAGCGACAGCAGCAGAGGTCAATCACATCCTCAAGCACAAAAACCTGATCGACAAGTAAGTCGAGCAGCAACGCGCCACACGGAGCTTCAGGACGCGATTCCGGCTTTGCTTGTGCCCTCATCAATGTCTCCTCCATCCTGCCAGGTTCCCACTGTTCAACGCCGTGTACCAGATCTGCTTCCAGGCCCATCCGGTCACAGAGTTCATAAGCTGCCTGCAGAACCACCCGGAGCACATGTAGAAGAACCACCATGACGACAAACTGACCAAGTGCCTTTTTGATTGAAGAACATTCCCTTTTCTCAGCTGTTACCCGGCAAGAATAGATGGAGGACGGGCTGCTCCACATCTGTCCCACAGCTGACCGGCTCCAGCCAGTGAGTGCAATGTTCACTTTGTTCATGTTAAACTCTAGTTTTACCATTTTGTCCTTAACACTGTTTCTTTTAAGTGCTTTGGTTCCTTTCCTGACATAAACATGATGACTTGAAGGGAATTGAATGAAGTGGGTTTCCTTTCCCATGCAATTGTCAGACAGCTATTTTTACCCAATTTCTTTTATGTAGGGAAATTTAAATCTGAAGAAATGGCGTCGCTTTGCTAGAAAGCAATCAAATGAAATCCTATATATCTATATATATATATATAGATTAGAATATAATTCTATTTTTCTAAAAATGTTTATTGACTCCTGTTTTGGTCGACCCTCTACAGCCATTCATTTAGTAACATCTTTGATGTTCGTATGGCTCCACATCATGCATTCAGATTTTGGCAGAGCCACCAGGCGGGCCAGAGGCCCGTCGACAACGCTTATGTCATCGTTCATTTCAAGTTATTCCGTCATGTAATACCTCAGTTAACTGTTTGCTCTATAAGTGTCTTATGTAATTCACTGTTTCCTGTCTTGTACATTAACACTGTCAACCGCACAGCGACTGTTTTTAACATAAAAACTGGAAGTGCCTTCGAGCGCACCGTATCAAGAGCTTTTGACTGAAAAACGTAAACATCCGTCCAATAATCCGTTTGTTAATGTGACCCTGCCTGACTTTCACTAATTTACGGCTCATTGTGTTGATAATTATACCATTTGTCTGAATAAACCAATTCTAATTATTGCTTGAATGCTTTCTTCACTCACATCATAAAGGTCATTATATGATCTTTAAATACACATCACCGCTGCAAGAATATTCCGAATTAAACTTTGCATTGTGGTAACAGAATGAAGGTTGAAGTCATTAGACCGCAGTAACTCAGCATATCAAATGGTTCACTTCGTACTTAACATTTATTCTTCTAAGGTTTCATCCCTTGTTGTGGCCATTACGATGTAACAGATTCCTATATTTAATGATGTTTATGACATGCTTTAGTGTTTAAATTTATAGAGCATTTTGAAAACTCATGAAGTCATGTACATGTGGAAAGTCCTAAAAATGAAAACCCTTTGATCTGAAGGACTCAATGAAGGCTTTCATTTGGACATCATGTCTTTGTGTGGTGTGAGAGACTGAGAGCTATTGAACCGAGCCGATAAGTGATGATGAATCTGGAGATTTAATTTATATTTTGCACGTGAAGGATAAAAACGCACTTTGAAGAAGAAATGTTCATTGACTGCAATAACTAAATAAGAATTTGAGAGTCACAAGTTAAGGTCATGAAACATTTTTTTGGCTTCAAGAATTCATATGCAAATTTTGACTTCACACAAATGCATTACAGCATAAAATGAATGGATGACACTTTTATATTGTAAAATGAAAACCAGGTTAATATAGAAGCAAAGTTCGTTTATTACAAGTAGTGGTGGTGTAGTTAGCTTTACATTCACTGGTGACCTTCGCTACACACCTGCCTGACTATTTTGAAATGCGGATTGAATCAGCAGCTTTAATAAACCTAAAAAAACATGTAAACCTAAAAGGAAGCTTAGAAGAAGGCTACTAAACAAGACCGCGCTTGTCCACAAAGAATCTTAAGACTATTCCAGTATGAATGCTTTGCCCTTTAGAAACCATATAAAGCTTAAAGAGGAGGCAGACACAGAGCGCAATGTGTACAAAGAGATTTCACTAAGTGTGATTAATAAGTGCAGTCGAAGCATAATGGTATCACAATCACGCTGGTGAACAATCATTCCTGTTCCTCGTCTCTGCCGTGATCCGGTACCATCTTTGGTGCGCTGCTTACAATGAGGAGTTTGTTGTTGCTCTGCTTTTGTTATTCAGTCATTCCATTTACCACCCAGACGCCAGTTTATCAGACGTGGTACTTTGTTCTCAACGTTTGTTTGTTCATTGATTGTTTTGTTCCCTCTACAACTCAAAAATTAAGAATTAAATTCAAGAACTCTAAATAAAATGGATGTTTGTTTTTTGGGTTGAATGTCCAATAAACTCCTTCCAAGGATACCTGAGAAATACCAGCTTGTTTCAGCTACAGCGATAAATCGCCTCCGTCCTCAAAAGACACTCCACAAGTGAAACATGATGATACAGCGGACGTACCCCTCCAGCGGCCCTGCATCTACTCCTCCCTCATCTTATCACCATTCACAGTCTGTGAGGGTTGACCCATTTGTAAGTGCCTTCGTAGCGAAATCCGACTTTCTTTGCGAGCTCGTCTGCTTCAGCCGGGCCCCGACTGAGAAGAAAAGAGAAGCGATTAGAATCAGCATATTAAACACCCTTTAACATGCTGAGTGAACAACAATCGCTACCTTCCATATATGTAAGGAATGGGTTTGGGCTTCTCTTTGTCAATGTGGTGCAGAAGAGGTGTGAAGATCCTCCAGGCTTCCCTTAGTTCATCACTGCAGAGACAAACACTTCAGCATGCTTCACAGCTGTATGGAAGGTTCTTACATTATCATCTATAGGTTCAGTCATGCTGAGGCGGAAGAAAGATGCATTATGTCGCCATCTAGTGCAAAGAGCCGGTAGTTTAGATGGCGAGTAGTTATATGAGTAACACTGGTGAAAAACAAGAGACGGACCTGCGTACAAAGTGCATCTGACTCCCACAGAAGACGTCCAGGATGAGACGTTCGTAAGCGTCTGGAAGCTTCACATCCTGGAAACAAGTAAAGTTTTAGTTAATTACTTTGTTAATAAATTAAATTAGTGGAATCACTTGCTCTGTGCATAAAGAAATCAACTAGAACATGCCTTGTATCTACTCTTGTAGGTGAGGTCCAGCTCGGTCTCCTCAGGGCTGAAGTAAACGCCCGGCTTCTTGCTCATCATCTTGGCGTAGACGGCCTCGTTGGGCTGCACGCGCACCACAAGCTCGTTCCTGCGACACTGATTTCCGAAAATGTCCCCCGGGACGTCTGTGAACTGCAGCCTCACCTCGGCTTTCCTCTCATTCAGAGCTTTTCCACAGCGGAGGATGAAAGGAACACCTGAGGAGCGAAACATTTTAATGCCAATGCGTTACGAAAGAGCTCGGAAGGTGATATTGCTGGGATCCGTCTTAGGCCATGGATTGTTTACCGTCCCAGCGTTCGTTGTGCACATACAGCACAGCAGTGGTGAAGGTGGCCTGAGTGGATCCTTTAGGAACTGTGGGATCATCAAGATAACCCAGTTTGGCCTCTCCCTCCCCCTCTGGATCTCCCACATACTGACCCAGTACTACATCCGATATGGACACCGGAGTAATGCACTTCAGCACCTTCACCTACAAGAGGGAACGAAGGCCCTCCGTTAGTAACATGAACCATGACAGTTGTGTCCTCGTTCGTAGTCGGGTTTGAGGGAGTCACAGTTCTCTGGGGGACGACTTTCTACCTTTTCGTCCCTGACATCATCAGAGCTGGTGGAAGCCGGTTTCTCCATGGCAACCAGGCAGAGCATCTGGAGCAAGTGGTTCTGCATGACATCACTGATTGGGGGAAAGCAAACAGGTGGTCACACAAACGATGGCGCGCGGGATGAGACGGCTTCGCCTATCTTCATCACAGAATTAGAACACTGATAACACACTATGACACCCATGTCTTTAATGCATAGTAAAACATACTTAATATGCATTATAATCTGCTTAAAGCTGTGACTTTATCAAAACAAGGACATAGCGGAGGTCTTTGGAATGGACGTGATGGTCCCTGGGAGATATGGTGGTGTTGATAACAGTTGGGGGGGGGGGGGGTATAGTACTGTCTACAATACACAGTAACCAGCTTTAACGATGAAGTTCAAGACCAACTTCACGGATCTTTTTCTCAACTCACCGAATGATGCCGAAGTCATCAAAGTAGCCTCCTCGTCCCTGAGTCCCAAACGGTTCTTTGAAGGTGAGAACAACGCAGGCCAGACTGTCCCTGTTCCAGATCGGCCCGAAGATTCGATTCCCAAACCTGCGATGAGGAACACGTGTTGTTCTCTGCTCAGCGTGGCACCCGAGTCCTCTGCACACGTTCGCCGGCAATCAATAAGTGAATGGACACGATGAAGCTCCTCACCTGAGCACCATGAGGTTCTGCACCATCTCCTTGCCCAGATAGTGATCAATACGGTAGATTTGGTCCTCGGTGAAGAGCGAGGAGAGGTGAGTGGAAAGCTCTTCAGAGCTCTTAAGGTCGTGTCCAAACGGCTTCTCTACAATCACTCTGGTCCAGCCTCTATATACACACACACACACACACACACACACACGCGGAAATAACAAAAAACATTTTTTTTAAACACATCGGATCTACTTCATCAATCTTCAAGGACACATCAGTGGGACGCAAATGGCTTTTCTGATTTAATCTAAATTCAAAGAAATCAAACATAGTGACAGAAGTTGTTGAACATAAGTAGGTTTGATGGAGGAAACAAGTTAAGAAATAGATTAAACAAACAAAAGGAAAACATTTTTACTCAGCGTCACATTTAACAAGTTGCCGTGTTATTAAGTACACCGCAACAAAAATAATTGATCTTTTGTATCTTTTTTCTCCGTTTGTGCAGGGAGGTGACTGACTTGGCGCTCATGCAGCAGTCCTTAATGTTCTTGGTGACGTCGTGGTAAACAGTGGGTGGCAGCGCCAAGTAGAAGAGCCGGTTTGCAGCGGGTCCTCCGGGGAGAGACGTCATGTGCGAGTTGAGTTTGGAGAAGGAACTCTCGTCAGTGTATTTCCCACTGATGTACGTGTTCCTCTTGAAGAAGGCCGATAGCCGCTCCGTATCTTTGTCCGTCACCTGGGTCAGAGGTCAGAGGGTGCGAGCGATTACACACAGATTCAATAAGGAGGTTTAAAACAAAATGTCATGTCATGAGGGTGAAGAGAATGTACGTTTATTTTTGCGAAGTCCAAAATGACAATGTTGGCTTTACAATGTTTACACATCTTAATGGATGCACAAAGAAAGGAGGAACAAACAATGAAATAGCAAATTAAATAATTGCAATTCAATGAATTTCTAAAAATAAATATTAAAACTGTTTTAGTTTGGCCACTTGGGGCAGCAAAAACAAGCTGTTAATAAGACTGACATATTGTTTCTGGACCTTTTCAATGAAAACCCGCCTGCTCAATCTCCCCTTGAAAAAATTAGATACAAATTTAAAAAATGGTTAGTTGCATCTCAAAAGGTCCCGTTTTACCTTCAGGTATGGTGTGCAAGCAGTCCGAATGGCATCAACGGTCAGGTCAGAGCGAGCAAAGCCAACGAAATAAGTCTGCTCAGGAAGGAGCCCGTCTCTGAACAACCACCTGGGGGAAGGACAGACACACACGTGGATCAAACTTCAGAAGCTCAAGTCCAGATTAGCGTAGAATCCTTCAGCAGACTCGGCTTTGCAATCGATGCTTCATCCTCTCACTGGGGTCAGAGGTTCACTCACCATAGAGTTGGGTAGATTTTCTTCTTAGCCAGATCCCCCTACAGGTGGAAATCAACAATGAGAAAGGTGATTTCACCAAAGAACTGCAGGTCAAACACAATCACCAGGTGTGGATGCTGAGCTTGGTTTAACTGTGCACTTATTGTCAATGCACGTTCTCATTGTGGTTACGGCTCGGCAGCAGGTAAGTAGGCTGCTTTAGCTTATTCAAGGTTTGCGCCATCGTGGTAATCCTACAGAGTAAATGCCAACCACCCGTGGAGACAAACGACGGCCTCTAGTGCCAACTGGAATCATGCTGAAGAACCTGCTGCTCAGTGGTTTCACTGTACGTATGTAAGACAGGAGGAAATCAGATATGACACAAGGCATACGTCACTACAGGGACAAGGAGGACCGGCTGTTAGGAGCCATTTTGAACTCTTTAAATTTCACAAGTAGGTTAAGAAGTCAGTCTGGTAAATGCAATGTCATACACAAGCTGAGGGTTGAACAAACAGCTCATGTCATTATGAAGTTAAAGGGCAACAACTATCAAATTACTATCTGTAAGTAAATGTTTGAAAGTGTGGCGTGACTGTAAGTAAACACCTGATGATGAACATGAAAAAAGTCTCGCAGTGCAGCATTTAACCATTTAAAAATCATCTGCAGAAACAAACACACAACTCAATAGATCAAGTGCGACTGCAGTGAGATTACTCACCGCCCAGCCCTTTCTGTTGGGCCTGAGCCGGTGAAAGAAAACAGCTGACTGTCAGTGACACTGCAAAAAAAAAACTCATTCCCCAACTGAGAAAACTGCACAAGAGGAACAAGGACACAGCAAATGCAATGTGGAGGCTGACTAAATGTCCAAAGAAAGAGTGGAGCCATAGAAAAAAAAAAAAAGAAAAAAAAAAAACTTTTGAAGCAGAGCAGCAAACAACTATTTGCAGTCACACTCGCTCTGAACTTCACAGAATAGAGGACCTTCAAAACCACCAGTCGACAATTCCGTCTTTGTGAGAATAATCGCTCATCTGTGGTTTTAGAACAATGCCGTATTATGTGTCCGGATGACCAACGATGTGGGGTGTAAAGCAGGTGACATGCATGTCAGATCATAATCTCAATATTAATGAAGGCACGCTGACCATTCACAACTGTAGAAGTGTTTTTTGCCTGCCTCTAAACAGAAAAACTATTCACAATATCATAGGATGAAAATTGGATGGATACGGCGCTTTGAAGCTGCGTCAGAACACCCCGAGTCAATGGAGTTTTTTTCTTAAATGTTAAAATAAATGGTAGATAAATAAACTAGATGTTAAACATATCCTATGCTTGAATTATTGTGGTCTCATGTGTGTTTATGTACCATATTAAATCCCTAATGCTGAATGTTTCTGTCTAAATTACTTTTATTTTAAAGTTTGCATTACAGGGCTAAAAATATTTGACTATGGGGGGAAAAAACTAAATCCTCACGGATTTTCCAGGACACGTCTCATAGACACCCAGTAAGAACCTTTCAAATGATGGAATCAGATAAATGTGTCAGAGACACCTTTGGTTAGTCTTTGGAGAGAAACAGAACATTTTACAAAGAAAACAAGGAAACAGTTCTCAAAATGCCTGGAATGATTTTAGTTCCTGGACTTGAAACCTGACCGAGGAAACGGTAAACAAGCAAAAAGAGGACATTACTCAACAGATTATTGGTATGGGTCAACTTACATCTTTTTGTTTTGCAGTAAAAGAAAAGAGTGACATTGAAAGTCACATACTCGGTTGACCTATTCTTTGCAAAATAACATAAAGTAAATACGATAAACAGATGCACAAGAGGATCTGTTTTTGCAGTAAATATGTTTCAGATGTTGACGACACACCATTGAAATGACAAGCAAAGAAATATTTGCTGTGCCCATTTTGAGGCATTTTAACGCGCGGACGACTTTGTGTTGCTGGTTTCAATGAGCTTGGTGAAAACCAGTTTCAACACTTCCTTAGTGACACACATACACATTTTGTGCAATTATTGCAGGACACTCATTTGTTGCAATTATGGCCAACGAGTCTTACCCAAGACGCGGTAAATGTACCAACAATAATGAAGTAAAAGAGTTACATTCTTATTTACATAATTCACAGACTACTTTTTGACTCCCCTCCCCTGCTGTGCTCTCACCGATGCTCCCATGATGATGAAGACGTGAGCGGACTGATGGAACTCTTCAACTTCATGCAGTTCCTTCCTCAGCTCCCCGAAAACCTCCGACCGAGAGAGAGGGAGTTTGTTCATTTTCTCTTTAAAAAAAGCACACAAAAAGAAAGAAACATGAGCATGAGTGTTTGGAACTGGTCGGCTGTGACTTTGACTGTAAGGGATTTTATACTAACAGCCAAGAAGGAAAAAAACACAGTCATTGCTCCATTACTTCCTCCATTATCCAAGATTCAAAAGATAAGGAGAAACATTTGAGAGATGATTATAGATACTTTGAAAGATAATACACTTGGATTTCCTTGTGACTCATAATAAGGAAGTACTTTTCACTGATTTTCCCAGACTTCAACGCAAATGGTCATTTAAATCCTCTAAACAAGGCAACGTAAATAATGACACAGCTGCAACGCATTCATGAACAGCTCAATTAACGCTAATACACGAGCGTCATCCCTCTTTACAACAACAAACTAAGGACAACACGTGTTTCCCCTCGCAGACTTATCCTGACACTCCACGAACTATAATGATATTAGTCAAATCCTCCACCAAAGCCCGTATTTAGAGGGATAAACGTTTCGTTGGATGCGTTCGGCGAACACATCAGGGTAACAAGGGCTGACATGTCGCTGCTGGTGGGACGGTGAGCTACCGAAAACCAGGCTCCTGCAATTTCCCCACATTACGTTAGTTTTATTTAACGTTATCGCTGCGTGGCGTGCGGTCCTCACACGGCCCGTAGAGCCACATGCCGGGCTGTGACCGCGAACGACTTGACAAGCGGCACAATTCAAAACTTGCGCTCCGCAGCTAACTTAGTTAGCTAGCAGCGGCTAGCTTAAAAACAGACGTTAGCTCACACACGGGCGGCGGTTGAGGCGGCTCGCGCGCGCCGTGAATGTGCTGCTTACCCACGGGTCCGTTAACGAGATGATAACCGGGCGGTTGGAGTCAAAACCCTCGACTGACGGCAGCGGACCACGGGCTTCGCGGTAGTCACACACGGACGGACACACACACACTCACTCACGCCGGGCCCTGCCCACTTCCCCTCGTTCGACTGACTAAAGAGGAAACGGAGAGCTCTTTTTTTTCATTGGTTTGCGAGAAACTCACCAGCGCTCGCTCGAGATCCCATCGCCGTCCGATCGAGTGACGTCATCCACTGGGCAAATGGGCGGGGTTTGAGGCGACGACCACGCGCACAATATACGCGTCTGCACCACACGGCCGATAACAGACAGAGTGGACAAGTGAGGACGCGGTTCGTTGTTCTCAACAATGATGAGGAAACAAAAGCCCGAAGAAAAATGTAACAACAGTAGAAAAGGAGCCATTCTTTACACTTTTTTTTTATCTTTAAACCTAATCAATACAATTACTGACATTTCTTCCCTTTTTCCGTTTTATTTTTTTTTTTCAAAATTAGTAAAACAAATAACATTTATTCGGTGATCGTTTATATCCAGTGGTGGTAGAAGTACTAAAGAAGTGTAAAAGTCATGAATTCACAAGTATCAGACGTAAAAGCAGGCCACTCGTTGTGTATCGTCATAGTCCCTGTCAGTGTTTTACTGTATTACTGTGTTGGTGGTGTCAGTCCTGGTTGATTGAGAATTTGAACACAATTGAATAGTTTAAGCGTAAGGATTAACACATTCACAGTCTGAGTCGACCAGTGTGTGCGTGTGTTTTCCAAAAAGTCACATAAATCCCAGTTTTCCTTTTGAGTAGTAGCAGAATGATATTACAAGATACCACTTGATTTGGTCATTTTATTGTCGTGAGCTATCGGCATTGGTTTTAGGCATTTATTATACGGACCAAAGACTGCAGATCTGTTGCCCATCTTTAACATTTCAGCTGCATTGTGAAGAATTACATCAGAGCCAGTCTGAATAAATAGTTTTAAATACGATATTATATAAATAAGAGAATTTAAGAAAAGAGATCTAAAAAGGAAAACAAAATTTAAGTTAAATGTCCACAAATAATGGATAAATTGAAATCCATGAGTCAGATGAAGACCCATCTTTGGTTCACTAAGCTGGATTTGCAGGCAGTCATAACCACGTTTCCTTCTGATACTGTCAAACACGTCCCAGAGGACAGGTTCTTCAGTCCGTTTGTCTGCAAGCAACAAAGACAACATAAACTCCCAAGTGGATTGCATTCAGATTAAGAAAAAACTGCTGAACAAACTTGACTAGAGAGACAGAATGAGGAACTGGGGAAGTGTTGTAACGTGAGTTGCAGCAGAGCTGGAGCTGATGTAGAAATACTTGTTACCTGCGTGTGGATCCACACTTCCTCCGGCGCTGCTGTGGTTTCTTTTCCCTTCAAGCGACAGAGACGCGGCAGCTCTCTCAGGGGCGGCATGTGAACACAGAGTGTTTCTGCTGCTGAGCCATACCTCTTTTTGAGACGTGTGCTCAAAATCCTACAAAGACACAGAAGGAAATGGTATTATCTGAAATGGGTTAAATAATCCCTAATCGAATTAGCGCCCATACATTTTAAACTATATGGTAATTTTCTATGTTTATCTGAAACGCCGATATGCAGTTTTAAATAAAGTAAACTTATACATTCTCTGTAAATTGTTTGGATTCAGCATGCTTGGATTTCGAAGGGCTGAAAGATTCACATATATGAAGAAGACAGGTGAACAAAACCTTTTGTCCCCCCCTACAACATTTTTTGGAGGGACTGATTGAACAAAAGTTCCTGTACCTGTGCTACACGCTTATCCCGACATTTGAACTCTCGAACAGGCCGCCATTTATCTTCAATCTTCTTTAAATCCAAGCAACACTTCCAACCAACGTTCTGCAACTGCACAACAAATAATAATACAGTAACTGCAGCTCGATGTCCGTCTTTTGTAACTTTTGGATCAAGGCTTGAAAAAAAGAGAAAATAGTTTCTGTGAAAAACAAGAAAAGCACACATTTGGTGTTGTGGGTTAGTAATACAATAATATATTATAATAGTCATCTTTTATGTCAACAAACTGTGAAAGCAAATATAATTTATATTTTCTGCGTAAATAAAACTCAAAAATTACTCAAAAGTGCACATGTGTGTGTTTTGGAAGCTGTAAGAAAGATAATTCAAATGTTGATGAAATTATTAAGTACTTCAGCTTTCCGTATTTAACCGGCCTGATGTCAGGCACATACGCCTCGGAGTAAATGTTGCTCAGGTACCACGAGAAGTTCTGGCACTTTAATCTCTCCCTGAGTTCCCGACATTCAGAGACGTCTCCGAACAAGTTCTGAGGAGAGAATTGACATCACAGATATAATGTAACTGACTTCCTTGTGTCTTAAATGTTCCGTGCCTTTGCACAATATGAACACGCCGTCCGCTCACCGTCCGTGCTGGCGTCGTCCACCGGCAGGATCTCCGTGAGCAGGGCCGCAGGAGCCGTGTGCAGCACACTGTAGACCGTCCTCAGCAAGGCGGACCGGGCCTCGCTGTGAAACACCACGATCACGCTGGTGGTCGGGAGGGCCGGGGCAGCGCGGGAACCTCTGCGCCAAGCAGCTGTCAAAGTCAAACTGGAAGTTCACTGAGGTTGTCACATTTGTGACTGGATGTACACTGAGGTTGGAAAGTTTGGGGTCACCGTGAGGTCAGATGGAGACATCAGAAAGTGCTCTTTCTGTATTTAAGAGGTGTGTTGCTTTAGCCCAGTGTTCTAGGGTTAGAACTAACTAACTGTATATAAGATGAATATAACAAACACATAGCTACTGAGTACTTCTTTTAGCCTTGTTATTCAATAATGAAAAAGACACAAAATGGTTCATGCAGCACTCTGGGGTTAATGACTAAATATTTTTAGTTATTCTTTGTTTGGGGGCAGAACTATTTTAAATAAAAATAATACATTAACAAATACAGAAAATAAGAAAAAACATTAACACCTCAGGTGATCCAAAGCTTCTAAACGGCGTAATAACGAGCAATAAGTCCACTCACTCTGGATGCCACGTGTCTTCACCCAGTTCACGGTGCAGGGAGATTCGGTTACTGGCAAACTGGTTGAGCTGGTTCTTATGGAACCCAGCTAATTCCTCGCTGAGCTCCCTGGGAGTCAGCCGCTGCTGGGGAAACGGTTTGCCGCCTGCACCCGGCGCCCTGGGATCCTGGCGAGGCCTCCGAAGGTGAGGCCTCAGTTCCTCTTCGGCGTAAAAGCCAGATCGACAGGTGGAACCTGACAACGGGTCCACCGGTCTGAGGGTGGGTCCTCTGAGTCTAACAGCACCTGTCACAGGTGGGTGTGTTGGTTGTGGACGCGCCGTGTGTTTAACGTGGTATTCAATGAAAAGCAGGAGCAGCAAGCAGGCAATCGCAACCTTAAGTGAAAGGGCGCGTTGGCAGTAACAGAACCGCATGCTGTGCAGAGAGAAGGACTGACCTAAAACAAAGCTGAGGAGAAACAATATAGAAAGCATGAAAAATATTTATAAAACCAATTCATTAAAATACTTCACCTGCACTTCACGTGTTATTTTGTTTAAATGTTTATTTGTTTTTTGTTTGGCCCTCAAGGGTGAGCACATTTACTTGTTGTGCCACCAAATAATCAGAGAATATTGATTAAAATCTTGCTAATCTCTTTATTTTTATATTAGAAAAGAATTACAGCCAAATTAACTGACAGAACTCATCTTACATTCACTATATTTAAAAGAAGTATTCTGTTATTCCCACAGCTTGCAGAGTTTAAAAAAATAAGTCGAATAGCATGTTTAACCCGTTCCCGTGTTGATGGAATTAGACTGGCGACCATCACAACGTGTCTTTTAGCACAAACACACCCACGCTGGAAGATTAAGGAAACTATTTCTGACTAAACCAGAACTCGCCGATCACAAAGCGCTGACTGTGGTCAATGTGCTAACACGTTTAAATGACAAATAAACACACAGACATAACAGCAAACACAACCTGGTGGACTTAACCGAGTTTAGGAAAATCTAACGTTAGAAAATGTGTTTTCTTGTTGGAATGCGATCATAAAGGAGCTGCTGTGTTTGGCTTTTTGGGAAGACTTCCAAACTACTTTCACTCCTGCTCATGTCTACTTGCCGTGACAAACGTGTATGACACACATTACCTTTGCGTTGTTTTACTATCAACACATTTCTCTCTTAATGATCACAAATGATTTCAGAATCAATACTTACTATAATTTAACAACAACTGATAAAAACCAGTTTGATTCTTGCCTCAACTAAATTCATGGAAGTAAGCAGTATTCGAAGGACACATCCTACTCGTCTTTCAAATTAAAAAAAAAAACATAAAAAATAATTTATAACAAAATAAGGGAAGGGAAAAACTTGCCACATATTTTGCACATATCTTATTTTTGGCAACAATCCCAGGAAAAATTAAAAAGAAAGATGTTTTAAGATAACCCACAGGATAATAGGCTGTCACTAAAAAGAACATATTAAAAGGTTATCCAAAAAATATTCAAAAGCAATAATCAAAAGTAAAATTCAAAAGAAATATTCGAAAGAAATACTATTCAAAGAACTATATAAAAAAGAAAACATTCAACAAATAGTAAAATATATTAAAATATATATATATATATATATAATAAAAAATAAAAGTAGTAATTAATAGTTGAAAGGCAGAATCTTGTGTTTGACACATATGTTAATTGCTGCAATAATCCAAGGTTAAAGAAAACTGTTTTGAGGGACCAGTGGGATAATAGGTTGTCAATCAAAAACGACAAAAAAGAATTCAAAATAAAAATATATAATCTAAAAAAATAATATGAAACAAATATTCAAAAAATTGAAATAGCAGAAGGCAGAAGGTTGTGTTTTCCACATATCTAAATTATTGTGTTTGGAGGGAACTGGTGTTAGGATGTGTTCAGGAGTGCAAAAAAATAAGAATAATGGAAAAAAGGATGATAATAATAAAATACAAAATGAAAGAAGGGTAGAAATACATTTTTGTTTGCCGCATATTGCAACAAAAATATTATTTAAAAGTTCTTCTGGCCCAAAAATGCTTGTACACTTTGTCAACTATAAATTGTTTGTATTTATTTCTATTTTAGTTAGAGTTTGAATAATCCCCTCAAAATACACTGCATGTAGGTGGGGCTTGTTGCCACGGCGACACTTAAACACAAACGGGTTGTGATTTGTTTCAGATCTCTCTCTCTCTCCCTTTCCGTGACTCTGCTAGAAGCTGGCTTTTGTGGATTCACAGGACTTACGTCGCCGCATCATGGCCTTCTTTGGTGTCACACTCCTGGGTTACCAAAACCCAATAGGCGATAAATTGATTGTGAATCTTACAGAGGCGTCTCATCTTCGGGGTAAGAGGAAGTGCAGCGAGCTGCAATGGGTTCATCCCCTTTAACAGAAAACGTCAGTTAACATGAACTACATTCATTTCTACAACCTTTGAGTTGAGTTAAATGACCAGTCTGTACTATAGTAACAACTCTCAGCACAGATGGCGGGGACCTGAGATCAGGACGGCCTCCATGTCTTCAAGAACGTCAGGGACCCCTCAGAGGTGAAGACACGTGCAACCAGCCTCTTCTCTACAGCGCTGACATACACCACGGGAGCCAGAGGCGGTACAAAGAGATGCTCAAACTGGGGCAAATACCCAGATGTGGGTAAACATGGAAAAAAGAGACGTTAAGGGAGGGATGTACCACGCGGGATCCAGACCCCGGCTGATGTCCAGGTGACAGGCCTGTGTCTCCTCTCTCGCCCAGCCCCCGACCAGCTGTACACCATGCCTCTAACGGACAGCCAGCAGTATGGATGGATGATGTCCAGGAGTCCCGAACCCTGGACCCAAGTCAAACGGTTTCCCCGGAAGTACTGTGAGATGACAAAGTAGGTAACATTTTACAAATCTCACATTCTTCTTTTTTTTAGTTCTTCATTTTGAGTTGAATCCACCTGTTGCATTCACAGGTATGTTAAAGAAATGTTGGCAGCAGACCGGGAGAGGAGCCTATTCTGACAGCTTTTCGTCTTTACACACACCAGAAGCCGTGTTGATGTGAAGTTCTCAGATTAAACTGGTTTGACATTCACTTTAGATCTTTTTCTCTTATTTTTTGTATTTATTCACACAAACTACTAGTGATTGCCCCTCAATAACATGTTGAAACCTTTTTAGCTCACAACTTTTATCGTGAAGTGTGGATGTGAGAACACAAATAATTACCCAGCTAATTGCCACTTTTATATTAGTTAATGTAACATAAATTATTCTCAAGGGTTTCCTAGCTGCAGGCCGCCCCCCTGCAGTGCTCTATACGGAGAGTGTAATTGCAATGCCCTCTAGAGGACGTTCAAATAATTACTGCTGAAATTTGGGAGATCCTGAGAAACCGGACAGGCCTTAATGAACAGTCGCTTCAATCCATCAAACTGCCACAAATATCCCTAAAAACGAATATATGGGCTTTATTTGGTGCCACAAACGCGACAGATTAGTGTGTAAAATGGGAAATTTACTTACCATAACTTGGCTGTAGGTGGTGCAAAGTGTAACGCAGCAATTCTGCAACCAGATAATAATGGTTTGGTATTGGACCCTCCCAGAATGAATCTTAACCTAAATTAATAATCTGTCTGGCTTATTCCCAGTAAAAAATGGCAACTTTTTTTTTTGTTTCTCACAATTACTATCAACCAATTTTGAGAATATTTTTGTTTGAAGGCGTAAGTCTGAATTATGAACAATCTTATCTAAAGAAAAGATGTTGCCATCAGTGTTAGTTTAGAATATCAAAGCCAGCACACAGAATCATAATGGTTTCAATGCATAGGAATCTATACTAAGTTATTGTGTGACAGGTGTGTACATATTCACAGTACAACACACATCATTAAAGATTTCAACAAGCTATCAGCCATTGATTTTTTTATTCTTTTTTTTTCTTCAAGGGGAAATGTTATTTTTCTCTTTGTCTCATCGTCCTCAGCTCTTCTCGTCCTTCAACTCTGCAAAAGACACTCCCTTTACAACTGCTCCAACTCAAGGGAAATAAAAACATAAAACAAAACGCGGGAGGGTTTTCTCCGCGGGGAACAAACCCTTGTTTTGATGGGGGGGGGGGGTCTTTTTTCCCCCCCCCCCCCCCCCCCCCCCCCCCAAACCCGCCCGGGTACAAACACACACCCTTTTTGGGCCAGAAATAGAAAAAAAACCATCCCGTGCCACTTTTTCAAAACCCGGGTCCCCCCCAAAAACCCTTCGGCTGTTAGAAACCCCTTTTCCCCCCCCCCCCCCCCCCCCCCGGGGGCCCATCATCGCCGCGCAGGAGGCTGCGTGAGCTTTGGTACGAACGTGATCAACTGTTTGGGGGCCAATTCACTCGATTACAAAAAGTCGAAGCCCGGAGATACTAAGGTCGCTGCGACGATGATGAAGGTTATTCTCAACAAGCCCTTATCCCCCCCCCCCCCCCTTTTCTCCATCAGAACATCAGCGGTCCGGCAGGGCAAGCAGGCACGTCCCTGTTCAGTGACACTGTTATTTGTTCACTGTCAACTTAAGGCAATCAACTCAGCTATTAGTACTTCTACTGAGTGAGTGTGTGTGTGTGTGTGGGGGGGGGTACAATAAATATACGTGCAGGTTTATTAATCCTGTCCTGTTCACATCAGCATGTAATTTCCTGCCACCGAGAAGTGAACACCTGGGAGGGGGGGGGCAGGGGGGGGTGGGTGGTTGGGTCGCCCTAAAGCCCGGCTGAGAATCACAATACTGCAGAAGTGGCATAAATCAAATTCGTTTTAAAAACAGCACACGCGTGTGTTTACACTGCCGTGCCCCCACCCCTTCCCCCCCCCGGGGGTTCTGCTGCAGCTAACGGTCATTGGTGATCACACCTGTCGGCAGGTGAGATGCTGCGTTGTACGTCGGGGCCGAACGGCAGGATTCGTTGGCCGCAGTTGATCAGTTGGTACCAGTGAGCTTGAGCTTCACAACTGGCGTCTCAGGAGAAAACGCGCTGGTCTTTGATCCTTTTCGTCGGAATGGAATCATCATAATAAGCATAATAATTAATCAGAAGCATCGTAATAACAGGAATAATAATAATAATAATAACAACATTAATAATATACAAATGATGGATACAGAAGTGATACAAAATACCCTACGTTAAAAACAAACCAAAGTGATGAGAAGATACCACAATCAGACATGCTTCAAAGCGGGCTATGTTTGGCAAGAGAGCAGTTTTTGTTTTGTACCATAAAAACCTCACAGTGAAAATAGTTATTCCCCTTCAGGATGACAAAGCACAGTATGCAGTCAAAATCAATATATATAATAAATATATATATATTTCTTTCCTTCATCTACTTCTTCTTCATAGAAGAATCAGGCTGTGTTGATTGCGTCCCCCTCTCCCCCTTCCTCCCCCGATGCCTCTGATTTTAAGTTCCTTCATTTCCATGTGCACCAAAATAAATACTTCTTTGAAAATGGAAGGAGCAGCGATGACGTGATACTGCGAGGGCTGAAACCAGCTGCGACGAAGCAATGCGACGTGAAGCGAGGACGAAGAGGATCCTGATCCCGGCCGGAGCGACTCGACTAGATACAAAATAGAGATTTCACCTCCTAATAACATCCGTAAGTCGTCTCAAGTCATTTTGTTCTGAGGTTTGGGGCGGTGCCACAATTTAAATTTGAAGTGATCAGCTCCCTGCTGCCTGGATGACAGACAGAATAAAGAAAGAAAATGAATTGTGTATATTCTTATGAAAACAATGACGCAGCTGTGCTGCCAGCTGTTGCCCCAAAAAAAACATAGGAGGTGATCATTGCTGACTTTAGCGAGAACATATCAAACATGTCTTGCTTTGCTTTTAGTAAGTACTTTAGTCTTTGGTCAATATATTCCTTCTCAGTTTATACATATATTCATACACACACAAATATTCATGTACATACACACTTCTGACGTGTAATAAACTGGATATTTGTGCACGTATGTATTCACACTTTTTCATAAAGGACCCTTTGCACAAAACATCGAGATCTAAATAAATTATTATTTCAGAAACAAAAAGTATGAGTACCTGTTCGTAATTCGTGTGTAATAAAAACAAAAGAAATCCCCGAAAAAAAGGAAACAAACAAACCTCAGAGTAAAAATAAAAAGTAGCCGTATGTACAGCGGTAATCTTCTCACAGGCTAAAAGGCGTTGTTTTAAATAAACAGACTTTGCATCTTTCAAGAAGCCTGAGAGGACATGAGGAAAAACACGCGTCCTTCCTACGAGAACGTCGGCCTCATCAGGAACACGCTTCCATTTCTCAAGTCTTTTAAAAGAAGGAGGGTTTTTTTCCCTCTCCACTCGGGATTCAAGTGACGGCGTCTCGAGTCCTCGCTCAGTGGGTCTCTGACCGGGGGGGTGGAAGGAGGTGGGTGGGGGGGGTTGAGGGTGCTCCCAGCATCGCCGCCTCCCCCCGCCGCTAACTGCTGGGCGGTCCATCGTTCAGGAAGTAGGTGGTCATCTCCCCTTTGCCCTTGACCTTGACCACCCCCCGGTACTCCAGCACGTAGCCTTTGTTGGCGAGCACCTGGTAGAGATCCGTGGTCACCTGCGAGCAGAGCGCCAAAGGGCAAAATATTAATCGGACGAATCGGGGCCACGTTGTTCGATCTTATTCAATAACTGCGTCATCTTCAGTCCGGATTGCACGCTGGACGGTTTCTTGTGTCACTTTTCTCTCCTTAGATTGAGTAGAAAAGTGAGCTTTATTCCAGAAATAGTAAGTAGAAAATCAATAAATCTTGTAGTCAATATTAACATGTATGACAGATATATTACATATACATATTTATATTATTATCAAGGTTCTGAAGAGGTAAATTATCTATACTAGTGGCACTATGTGACACATGAGTTATTACATCCATCTGCCAGGGAGGGACCACTTTCTTAGTAATTCCTGCACTCTAATGCAGCTCGGCCGTGCACGGGACGATTATCTGTGCTGTAACTTTATCATTTTGGCTTATTCCATGTCCACGATGTCTATTGCATGTCTGTCTGTGTCTTGTTGCGCCTCCTGAGTTCTCTTTTCAGGGCCTGTTTGAAGCGAGGCTCCGAGGACAGAAGAGCTTTGTTGCAGCCATGCAGATTGTAAAGCCCCTTCAGGCAAATTTGGGATGATTAATATTGGGCTACAAGTATAAAATTGACCTGCCTTAAATTGTGCCTGTAACATTCTCTTGTCGACGCTGTCATAGGGGCGTTAATTAAATCATATGTTGAGGCGATGAGGTCATAGCATTTAATTAAGAAGCATATATCACCTTTGACAATGACCTCAGCGACGAGCCTACTTGAATGTACAGATTTACAACGATGGGATAAAAAACACATTAAACCTCACGGCGACTGGATTTACGGAGGCCGTGTCCTATTGGTCAAACTAGTTATTGGGACATTTATTAATAACAAGCATCAAGACTCATCTCAGGACTTCACTTGAGGAACCTACAGGAACAGCTGTTTCCCGGCTCCTACCTGTATGCAGTCGGGTACGCCCGTGCTGTCCATTCGACTGGCCACGTTGACCGTGTTGCCCCAGATGTCGTACTGCGGCTTCCGCGCGCCGATAACCCCGGCCACCACCGGTCCGATGTTCAGACCTGCCGATGGAAGACAGAGACTCGTCACTGCATCAACGAAGCTGCTGCTGCTGCTGCTGCTGCTGCTGCTACGCCCAAGCATCCAAACATCTGGACCCGGCTCACCTATCTTCATCTGGAAGTTGTTGAAGGAATGCTCGTTGATGTACTTCATCTGCTCCCTCAGCCTCATGGCGTAGTCCGCCAGCGCCACAATGTGCGAGCGGCCCTCCCTGTCGTAGGTGGAGTCGTTGAGACCGGACGCGGCCATGTAGGTGGAGCCGATGGTCTTGATCTTCTCCAGCTGCCTGTACTTGTCTTCGCTGATGATCTGAGGAAAACAGGGAGCAGACGGGGATTAGGTTTCCGCGAGCAGAGGCCCGGGCGGGCGGCACGCCGAGCTTCGCCCCAAGTTTTTTACCTCGTCAAAGTCAGCGATGATCTCGTTGAGCAGCCGGAGACACTCCACCCCCTCGTTGTTGGCCTCCAGCTCCACGTAGAATTCGGAGAAATTGCTGATGGAGGCGAACATGACGGCCACGCACTCACAGGACTGGTAGTACAGCTCGTCGTTGCGCCGCTCGCGCGCCAAAAAGTGAGCCGCTACGTCCTTGGGCAGAATATTATGGAGGAGGCGGCGATTGTAGGCTTGCAGTTCCTCCATCTCCTCCTTCTCCTCTGTGGCCTGAGAGGCAAGGATCTCTATCAGCTGCGTTCAGCATGTATGACCGCGGTGATAAAAATGACCAGCAGGACGCGTAGGATGTGCAGATGTTCTGATGGGAGATGGGCGAGCAAACACGGCGCCCTCCAGTGGACGCTGAACGTACCTGCAGTTTCCACAGGAAGTCGAGGCGGGCGGTGGACTCGACCTGCTGCGCGTGCAGGTACAGCGCCAGGACGAATACTGTGAGGATGACGGGAGTCATGACCCTCAGGGACACTTTGGTCACAACGAATGGGCTGCGAGGAACACACGGCGACATTAATGCAACGGGGCGGAGCTTCGAAGTGGCGGACAGAAAAACGTAATACTGACACTCACCACTGGTTTGTAGTTTCATTGAAACTGGACCTGAATGGAAATTATACATTAAAAATAAATTAAGTCAAAATCCTTATAATATTAATTTCTTCATACAAGTCAAAAAATAAATATTCTTACCATTGAGCACTAGTTTCATTTAAATCACTAAAGAGGGAAAAAAAGAGAACAATTAATTAAAGTTATAAATCTCTTTCAATTAAAAGCTTAAACTTTTTTAACACCTTAGTTTGGGGAATTCACATAAATAAATATGGTAAACTGCTCAATGCAGTTCCCTCCACACACACACACCTGCATTAGCAGTACATTGCACGGCCTGTGGCACTCACATGGCATTGGAGGTGACAAAGAGGTCCGCGTTGTCGAACAGTGCTACCTGTGGCCACTCCACCAGCAGCAGGAAGGTGAGCTGGATGAGCAGCATGAGGACCAGCTTCCCGATGCTGCTGATCTGCAGGAACACCGAGCAGGCCAGCAAGGTCAGCAGCACGCTGTAGCTGAAATACTGGAGAGCGCCGTCACAAAGAGCCGTTATCGACAGCACAGCTCAGGGAGAACAAGAATGTGACATTTTCCGTTTTGTGTTGAGAAGGTCAGACCGGCGGCACGGGGGAAACCCCACAAAAAAAAAAGTGGTGACCTAACAATGGATTCACCTCGGGAAAAGGGCAGGAGGGGCCTTGGCTGGGACAGATCTCCAGACCCCCGTCCGGCGACACATTCAGGCTGCGGATCAAACAGGGCGTCACCAGCGCAGCGGAGGTGTTCAGCTTCTCGGCGACGCATTGGGCCAAGCTCACGGTGTCACAGGCGAACTGCAGAGAAGCCAAACGGACACACACACACACACACACACACACGCGTGTTCAGAGGGCTCTTCAACATGCACACGCATGTGCCCTCCGCCCGTCTCTTCCATCTTACCATGTTGACAAAGGCAGAGATGAAGACCAGGATAATGGTAAACACTCCGACCAGGGTGCTGTTGGTGCGAGACTGCACAATCTTCTTTGAAACAGTCTGCATGGCGGCCGGAAAGAGCTGCGGGGGGGACGGGAGAGGGGAAAGCACTCAACGCGGCGAACAACGTATAAGCATGACCAGTGTGTGTGTGTGTGTGTGTGTGTGTGTGTGTGTGTGGTTGATATGTGTTACCTTGATGCAAGAATATATGGCACAAATAAAAAGGATGTTGGCGAGAATGACGAAGATACTGATGTAGATTCCCAACATGACCGGAGTGCTGCGAGGGAGAAAACAGTAACGAGGTTATACACCAGCTGATAAGGGAGTTCAGATCCTGCAAGTATCGGTAAATTATGAGACGGAGCAAATAAGTATGAGGTGTTATTGTCAGTGTTTATTAAGGGAAAGAACGCTAGAAAAGAAAATGTACATTTTTCTTTTACTCAGAAGAATTAAACTACAGGCAGTGAAAGCAACCGTAGAAACACACGGTCAATACGGCTCTACGGTGTATCAAGTACTCACTGTGGAAAGATAACGATCTGTATGAAGGATATGAAGCAGAATACTAGGAGAGTACACGCAACGTAGCCTCCAAAACGATCGTCCACCTTCTTGGAATACTGCGAGAGGAAAGGTCAGAAGAAGAGTCAGATATTCCTCCCACGAATGACAAGCACACTCGGCATTAATTCTATATGATAATTTATATTTTATTTTATGGAACCTTATCGTGAGGAAATCATATAGAGATATAGAGATTTTGTGATTGTAAATAGGAAAAAACAGAATATCTAATAAAACTCAGTTAAATCAAACTACTCTCTTAATCGGACTGGAATGCTTTAGCAAAAAATATTTTACCGTGTTTTTTGAATTAGCCAAAAACAGGCTATATTGAGGTGTGTGTATTGTAACCACGGTTTGCCATGAACGAGACCAGGATAGAGGACACTGGAATCGAGGGTCTCAGTTTGAACCTTTTTCTCCAGGCTGGACGTCTGGAAGGTGAGCAGGAACTTCTTCACGTGGTCTTTTCTCAGCTGGTCGATGCTGCGAGCGTCAATGGCTCTGCCCAGAAACTCGTCCACCTCGTCCTCCGGGTTCATCGCCTCCTGGACGCAGCGGCTGCAACAAGACAAACGGCGTCGGTGAAATCTGGTTCGAGCAGAGCGGCGAGCCTCTCGAACAACACGTAAACAACAACAACAACAACAGCAGCAGCAGCAGCAGCACTCACTTGTCTTTACTGGAGCTCTCGTCAATGCCCTGAAGAAGAAAAGAGACGAAACGTGAGTCTCTCACGGAAGTGTCTCCTCCGATGAGACACCGGTGTGTCGGTGCAGATCCTCACCATTTGTCTGAAGACTTTGGAGTCTTTGGTCCGGGAGAAGGTTCTGTCGGGGGACCCAGCGGGGCATCAGACCCTCGTTGGAGTTGGCTCTCGTCGTCCGCTGCATGCGAGCCATCGTGGCCTTCTCCTCCTTCTGCTCAGTGGGGGAACGGGGGGGGGGGGGACACATGAAGGCCTGACCAACTGTTCTCATACAACGCAGTCCATGAAAATACAAGGGACTAAATACTAAATAATTGTCTAAGAATATTTTTTTAAAGTCGAATAAAAATAATAATAGTAGGAATATATATATATATAAATAATCATTCAAAATAGAATGTAAGGATGGCATTTGAAAAATTAAAAACAATAACATTTAAAAGCAATTATAAATGAATAATTAAAACATAATTGTATTAAAGCGCCTATTATGTGTTTATTAATTCACTGACCCGTTTCTCGCTGCAGCCGAGAACCAAGAAGGTCTCGATGCTGTTGTCCTTCAGGTACGCGTTCCTCTCCCCTCCGAAGCCCGGTTCCACCTCATAGTCTCCGTTAAGATACTGCAAGGTGGCCTTGGTGATGTGGATCCGCCTACAGAAAGACACGCGATTTAACCAATTAGTAACACACTGAGTATTTCAACTGAACACATTTACTTTATTGCTAATAAAAAAATTCAAACCCGGATGCTTTTTTGTTACGGACCGGTGCTCGTTTCGCTCACCCTGCTTTGCCTCCCGCCTCCATGTGATTGGCCAGCGTGACGTCGTTCGACCACACGTCGAACTGCCACTTCCTGAGTCCCAGCACGCCGCAGTGGACGCGCCCGCTGTGGATCCCCACGCGCATGTTGACGTTGACCCCCGTCACCTCGCGCACCAGCCTGCGGACACACGGCCCGCACGTTTCAGTGTCCCTTTCTCAAGAAATAAAAAAATAAATAAAAACTACCAAAACCAAACAGCGTTCGCACTCACGAGATCGCCTCGATCATGTCGACGCCCATCTCCACGCAGCAGTGGGCGTGGTCGGCCCGGGGCTCAGGCAGCCCGGACACACAATAGTAACAATCACCCAGAATTTTAATACGTAGACAGTGGTTCTCCTGAGAAAGGGGGAGGAAAAGGGAGGAGTCCAGATGTTTGGTAGCTGTCATATATGTCAAGTGAGAATGATGATGGCGTTTAACTGTGGAGCGTCTCTTAAAAGCTCGGTCCTGAAATGTCAAACTGGTCCTTCAGGACAAACACGAGAGACACACGAGGACCCTCACCGACGCCAGCTTGTCGAAGCGGGCGAAGAGTTCGTTGAGGGTCATGACCAGCTCCTGAGCAGTGCACTGAGAGGCCAGGCTGGTGAAACCCTCGATGTCTGCAAACAGAATGCTGAGGACGAGAAAACAAAAACAAAAAAACGTTTCGGCAGTTTCCCCATTGAAAGCGAACAGAGTTCGCACAGCAGCGGCAGGAATACGTTGCGGTGCTGACCTTGAGAGAGGCAGGAAGTTCGACCTTAAATTCTTCTGAAGGAGATATGTGCCTGTTTGTGTGTCTGTGTGTGTGTGTTTGTGTGAGTGTCAGGGGGACGGAGTGCGTTTGCTCAGTGCTGTAATTGAATGTGTGCCGAAGCTCTCCATCTTTGGGGATTATCTTATCTCGGCTGCTGGTGATTAAGTATTCCCTCACTAGTGTTAATTAGCCTCCACTCTGCCAAACCACTCTCCCCTCTTATGACTCCGTGAGCGCGCTCCTATCAGTGTGTGTCTGTGTGCGCGTGTGCAAATGTGTCGTGAATCATTCTCGCGAAGAATTAGTGGGAATTGGGGGGGTGTTTGTATTTAAGCAGAACTAAGCAACATTTTTTTTATGTTTTGACGAAGACATGTCTGTCCCACACAACGGAAATCCCCCCCGATCGGCACGGAGAACTCGGCGGATGAAAGTAGATTGAAATGTTTGTTGAGCCGGTAAATCGTGAAACGCGACACTGAGGCCGAGCGGCCGGCTGACCTGACGTTGTCGTGTTTCTGGATATAGATTTTGTGGAACATCATGTCTTCCTTCTTGGCATTGATGTCAGCCTTCATCTCCATGGCAACGTGCCTTGGCAACACTGAAAGCAACAGACGTTCCTGGAAAAACACGCGCGCACACACACACACACAAAGAAAAAAAACATAATAGAGATTGTGTCATTCACAATATTATCGTCTATGTGCAACGTGTCAAGGGTGTGTGTGTACTTTTTTATTTGAATAACATGGCAACAGTTTTAGGATTACACAGAAAACCCCCATTAAATCAAAACAATAACACATTTGATGACATTGTGAAGCAGCGTCGCATCATGGGAGTTGTTCTCAGATGAAAATCTATCCGTCGTGGTTCACGCAGGAATCACAAGGAGTTGATGCTTTAAAGTTTTGTTTTTATTCATTTCTACTCATGGAAGGTCATTTTAATGTGGTTGGATGTGATACGTTTAGTCAGTACAGACAGTACTGGGAAAGAGACAACACAACATTGATTTTTCATTTTGGAAATAGTTTGTTGTCGGCAGCGTCATCCTTTACGTTTGAGAATAATTACTTCTACGAGACTTAATGGACTTAATTTCTGATAATCAAATCACGATGACTCGGCCTCAGGTTTAAATTATTCCAGTGAAAGTTTTTATGCAGTGACTTTTTTTAAAAATGTGTCCTCTATGGCATCATTACTCTGTAGAGTCTACAAATATAGGAGGACGTCTGTCGGTGAGGAAAGACATTTGTTTATCCACGTTTATTTGTTTAAAATTTCTTTTTGAATGGAGATAGCTCCGGCGTAACTGAGGCTCCTGCAGAGCGTGTTGCATTGTGGGTCGTTTCTGGCTTTCCTGATTGCTCCACTGGCTACTTACTTCACGTATTTTAGACTGAATCCACTGAACTCTTTCGGACTTTCTGACAGCTCGTGCTCATGTTCTGCTGCAGGGAGGTTTCTGCAGAAACAAATCACCTGACCAACGGAGCAACGTTTTACAAAGAGCTTAAACAGCAGCTGCCCCCGAGAGGTTGAATAGAACACTGAGGTGATTCACATTCAATTGAACACTTATTCCAGTATGTGTTGGCAAAAAGTCTTTCGGGCAACGAGATCACAAATACACATAAACAACAACGCGTTATGCATCCGCGTGCAGACCCACCTGCTGTTGATTCTCCCTCTGGAGGTGCAGCCTGGCCTGGATGTACCCTCGGGTCTCCTGGAAGGCTTGTCTCTGGGACACCTCAGCGGGGTAGTGGGTGCAGATACCGATGATGTTGGTGCACAGGAAGATCAGGACGTTGGCGCTCACCTGGGAGGGACGAGAGAGGAGGGAAGGTGGTCGAGCTTGAGATACCAGGAATGAGGGATGATCCTGTGGTGCAGTGGGAGAAGCGAACGAATCGGGATTGAAGCAGAGAGGTGAGCAGGTGTACGGTGAACTACCGCCACGGTGCTTTCTCATCGTAATCGATGAAAGCATCTATCAATAGATCGATGATGACCGTAATCAAACATTTCTGTAGTTTCTTTCTCAAGAGGAGGCTGCTGGTGCCATAAGCCGCCCTCTGACTCAGTGAAAAAAGACTCTGACATTTGTGAAAGAACAAGGCGAGTGCAGCTACGACGTCAAGCATCAGAACACATCGTACAGGGAAGGACGATACAAATGGTTCATAAAGGACATTTTGAGTCGGGGGGGGGGGGGTCATATGTGTTTGCATGCAGTGCGTCCACGTGACACGTTAAAAACATACGGTATCGTTGTTGTGACTTTAAAGGCATTTAAACGATATTGCAAAGATTAGAAAAAAACATATTCAAGGGTTTTCAGCTCATGAAACTATTTTTTTCTTCATCTTTTTTTGTCTGGTTTTGTCTGTCATTGTAAAGCGTCTTTGGATACAAAAAACGAAAGCATTATTATTTTTATTCAAATATTGTTATCATAGCTTTCTGTAAATATTACATTACATGTCATTTAGCTGACTTACAATAAGTGCATTTCGACCATAAGGATACAAACTCGAAAGAAAAAGAAACAAGAAAGTGCAATTTCATCAAATAAGCCGGTTTACAACTTGCTATAGACATTATAAGTACAATGTACACTGTTAGTGTTTTTATACGGAGGTCGAGTCTGAAGTGTCTTTAGTTTGCAGCGGGAGATGTGAAGGTTTTCTTTGCTGTCCACATCTTTGTAATCTATTGAACTCACAATACCTGATGATTACGTCGATGTGGCAGCAGACTGAAGCCCAAAGCTAATCAGCCAAACAGAAACAAAGATTCAATAATCAATAATCAATCTCCTGCGCGAGTGGGGAAACACTCTAAAAGCAAAGAGGTTACTATGAGTCACAATGACTATCGGAAATGTAGGTTCATTCAGATTAAATACAACTTATTTGGGACAAAGGTCCCATGAGAACAAATATTTCAAGTCAACCTCACTGTGTTTGGTTGAGAAACAGTAAACGTATTTTGACAGTATGTTAAACAATAAGACCAGATCGCTATCCAGCCGTTGTCCCCAATTCGGTATTATTATCTTGACAAACTAATGAGCACTGCATTATTTCACAACAACAGAGAGTTTAATGGAAATAAACAGTGACTACAAAAGCGATGATGAGAATAGCAAAAAGATGATTGAAAAAGAGAGCCAGCGAGGCTGAAAACAGACAAGACGGACAACGCAGATAAAAATGAAAGACGGACAGCTGTTGAGGAAGGACATAAGTGGAAAGGAGCAGGACGAGGAAGGAAAACAGCGATGTGAGCAGGAGAGAGAGAGAGAGAGAGAGAGAGAGAGAGAGAGACATGGGCCACACTGACATTAGGCAGATGGCTCAAAGCGCTCAGCTCTGTTTACATTACTCTCACTGATAAAGCAAAAACGGCCATGAGACAAAAGCGAAGCCTGCAGCGGGATGCGTGTGTGTGTTTGCAGGTGAAGGCCTCCCATCATTCTACATGTGTGTGTGTGTGTGTCTGTGCAGTCAAAGACTTGTGCGTTAGCGCTGCAGCTACTGTAACTATCTGTCAGCTGAGGTTCAGCGTCCCGTGACAGCGTCCCGCGCCGGCTCGGTCCGGCACCGTTGTGATCCGGGCCGCTGTGCGCTGTGATCCTCATCGCTCACTCGCTGTCAGGTGGAGTCCATGACTGAGTTACCAACATGATTACGGCCTACTAAAAGGGTTACGCTGGCTTTATTGAGACCGAAATAAACCAGGAATTGAGCATCACGTCAGCGGAACATCGCGTGGTTTGTTTTTCTGCCGTGGAAGCGCTCGTCGCCCTCCCCCCTCCACCCCCCCGTCCTCCCATCCGGGTGCTGTGGTGGAAGTGGACGGCCAGTCTGCGGAGACGACCTCAGACTAATCCCGGGATATCAAAAGGTCATTATGTAAGAGCTGCTCTGATCTGCACCAGACAGGAACAACGGATGTGCACGCAGCATAGATTAAAATGTATTTTTCTCCACACAAAAAGCCCCCAACAGCTTATGGAGGATGTGCAGGCGGAATCAATGAATGATCGACGCGGCTGCATGGATGCTTGGCTGAATAAACGAACACACGACTTCCTCCACAGTTAAGTACATTGTATATTGCTTGGTAAAATAGAGTAGACCCTCTACTTGTCAAAGAAACATTAAATTAGATTATCATGGGGTAAGTTGACAAAGATACCACGTGTCGATGTTAAAGATTCAGTAATTGTTTTCATAAAGAGTACGATCAAATACATAGTTTAAGATACTGCAGTAAATTCAACCAAAATCCTGAGATACTGTTGCAAAACATTTTATTCCGTTCTTTGAGATGAATCCTCCCAAAGACAATGACGACACGATGACATCGAGGCAGGTTTGATCACCACATCTCAGGCTGACGGAATGAGTCCTGCAGGTATTTAGACATAAGCCACAGCAATGAGGAACAGTCAGTACGATTCATCACCTGGGGACCATGAATGTGTGTACTTCACTCAGAAAAACAACGCGCTGCACCGACTTAACAGCTTAAACCCGCCTACTTTCCGCTGTGCGAAGACGATACCGACGTGCAAAGCAAAGAAGTCCACCTGCCCTTCATAGGTAATGTCTCTGCAGCAAGACTACCAGTGACCCCCCCTCTGAAGATCCCCTCTCACTGTGTGAGGATCGCTGCTTTATTTATAATTTTTCTGCCCCTTTATGATGGATTCAGCACAGCAGCCAGTTGGTTTAGCAGGAAGTCTCTGGTCCTGACAGCCGGTCTATAAACATTGACTTTTAAGGCCGTCGGACTGGGAAAGAGTGTCCTTCAGGGAGGAGAGAGCAACGTGACAGAATGTGGACCGACGGACATTCAACAGCCTCCTAATGTACCCGAATAAGGTCATTGGAAGCGGCTATAATCGATAGTCGTGCGCAGACAGCGGTATGTGAATATGAAAGAGGCCGTAGTAGTTCGCTCTCGTTGCATCACCGCTCTTCTGGCCGTGGCGGGCTGCTGCTGCTCAGGGAGAGACAAACAAAAGTGAAAGCTCTTTAAAAAAAAAAAAAAAAAAATCCATTACTGTTTAAAGGGACAGCGTGAAGAAAAATAGATCCACAGAAAGAAGAAATCCGTCTGTGCGATGAAGTGGTTAAACAAGCCTCCCCACTCACAGGCAATTCCATTACAAACCAAACCACCTGAATCAGCTCGTCAGGTGACCTGACCTCTTCTTTAATCCCCTCATCCTGCTCTCCGTCCCATTCGACAACATGCACCCGGATCGCAGGGAGGTGTGCTGGTGTGTACATACGTGCAAACGCACAGGGTTAGTAGGTCAAGGAAGGATCTTAATATTGCTGCGGTCCCGACTGCAGCCCTTCCTTCGCTCGGACCCTTTAGACCCCTTTGACGGACGCGTCGACTCTTCAAATCGTTCAACAGTTTAGACGTTTGTGACACGACAACAACAACAGCAACTACAAAAAAGTCAAGCTTCTGCTTACTGTCGGTGACTGTGAGCGTTCACTTAGCAACTATCACCCACATTCCACAGCCTCCCTCCAAAGGACCTGCAGGCCCCCGCCCAGGTTCAGGGAGGGTGCAGCTGAGGAGGTGAGGGTAGGGAGTAAGGGAGTAAGGAGGTAAGGGGTAGATGGCTTTAGGCCTTTATACTGCATGGTCGTTCTGTATAAAAAAGGTGCATATAAGATAATACGTCGATCGTCGTTAGAAGAAGCCGATTCCCAAACAATCGATCGACACAACGAACGTCGAACGTCTTGTGTTGTAAGTATTCAGATCGCATTGACAACGTAGCAGCTTTAGCATGAAGATTGAACGTCATTCAAAAATGTCCCTAATCCAGAGAATCCACAGAGCTCGGCCCAACAGTAGTCGGCCCCCCCCCGGTTGGGAGCTTGCCTGCGCTACGCTACGGTTGGCCAGTCGGCATTAGTTGGGCGGGACTTAGCCGAGGGTCTAACCAATCGTTTTCAAGCACTGCTTGAGCCACTTAAATACGCCGAGAACAATCTTGGAACAGAACGAGTCTTCGTCAAAAAACGGTCCAGAGAACTGTGAGGAGAACACGATGCTGAATTTATAAGACCTTTTCCCAGAAGGAGCAGTGCCTGATGGGATATCGCTGTTGAAACGGGGCCAACGAGAGCGTAAGTCAGAGCTCATCGGCCTTTGAGGAGCATCTGGAACTGCTTAAAACATCTGTGTTGTATCAGGCTCAGTAAAACACACTGCAGCCCCCCCGAAACACAATGACGGCGCTTCGCTCGTGACCAAACATGAGTCCCAACGCCCCCCCCGTAGGTTGGCCCTTATCTTTCCTGGAGAGCGTTGGTTATTTATTTCCATATTCTTTCATTTCATTTATTTTGAGTTTCTGTGTGTGTGTGTGTGTGCGCGGTGGCGGCGGGCAGCTGCTGGGTTTGTGTACTCAGCACACGGCTCGCAGTGCCCTTATCTGAAAGGACCAGAACCACATGAGCAGATAAAGAGTGGAGCCCCTCCCGCTGCGTCTACTGGGGGGGGGGGGTCCCGATCACACAATTTGTGTCGAAACAAAACTCTTCCACGTACATAAACCCAGGGGAGGAAAAGTTGTGTGTGTAGAGTATGTATCAGTTTCCATCTATAATACATAAAGGAACACGAAAGTTCATTACGCCGTTTAGATCTGTGTCCCAAACCCCCTCATTGAAGATTTAAGGAGTGTTGTGTATATAGTTTAATCTAGTCGTGCATTTCACTCTGACTGACAACCACTATAGTTAAGAGTAAATACAGTGATTTCGGAACCTTTAGTCATTT